ATCTCCAGGGGTGCCCTGGGAGCAAAGCCCCCTCCCAGATGGGTAAGGACAGGGTGCCCTCTCAGCAGCCAGGACAGTGCACGCAAGGATTGCTCTGCAGAAGAGAAATAATGGCTCAGGCTGAACTAGCAATTTTCTAGAAAAAAGAAACTTATTTGGGAAAAGGACGATTTTAAAGAGACTGAGACTGTTCATAAATTCAAGTCAAATTTAGAGATTACTTTCAGCCTCTGGGTTCTTCTATCCCCCCCTTTCCCTTCCCCCCTTCCCCCGAATTATTGTTTGCAAAAATTAAAACAAAATGTTTTGGGGCTTTCGTTTGTTTAAAAAGCAATTTGCATTTTGAAAATTGCCAAAATATAAGCTTTGGGAGGGTGGGGTCTTTTGAAAGGGCAGCATTGTCATTGCTGAATGAAAACCACGGAGAGGAATGCGTCCTGGGAGACACAGGGCACTGGGACATGGGGCCTGGGGGACACAGCAGCAGCACAAAGACCACAACCACAGCTCCCACCACACAGCTCCAGCCTGTGCTTCCATTCATGTATCTCCTTTCGTTCTCCCAAATGGAAAATCCTGCCCACCTTGACCTTCTTCGGGTGATTAATTTGACCGAGTTGCTGTTTTCAATGTGGAGAAGATTCTGCGGTACTTTCTTCAGCCGGGTCCAAACCACAGCTTTCCCCTTTTCCACTCCAGCCTTCTCCAAGTTTCTGAACATCTGTGTTTAAATGAAACCTGGTTATTCATATCGGAGCCTGGCAGCTCAGGTAGAGACAGTCTGATGAAGCTCTGTACATCTGTGTGCAATAAAGCAAGCGAACAAAAGGCTTGTGAGGTCCTTGGCAAGAGGGGAGAAAGAGGAGAGCAGGAGACAGCAGCACTGAGCTTAGCTGAGCAACTGCAGCCAAACCCTTTCATCAGAGAGGTCTCAGCACCTGGCCCATGTTTTGCTCATAGCTGGGTCTGCAGCCCATGCAGGGGTGTCTTCTCCCCCAGGTGAAAAGCAAAGCGTGGGGTGTGAAGGTGATGCCAATACCGGGAGGTGATTTTTACTACATCTGGCAAAGGCATTCATAGAAAGAAAAGTTGGGTTGCTAAAGAGCCACTTAGTGTGGCAGGGAAATTCCAACCAAGAAGCAGTGGCTGAAAATTAAAGCCAGGCCAAGTCGTGTTAGGAGCGAGGCAAAACTCTTTAGCACAGTGGGGGATTAACCTCGGGTGAGGGAGAGGGAGGGCGGGATCCGCCTTTCCCGAGTGCCTCTGTCCAGGGAAGTGTGGCCGGGTGAGCCACACGCCCTGCCCACCATGGGGAGCACCCAGGGACTTGTACAGGTTGGGAGATGGGATCCAAGAGCATCACGACCTGCTGCTGGGTCCACAGCACCTCTGCACCTCCGGGTGATGGATCCCATCCTGACGTGTCCCAGCAAGGACTTTCTGATGCCTGGATGGGTCATTTACTGCATTGCCCCAATTCCTCTATCCCTATGTGCTATTGTCAGGAGAAAACAGGATGGCTATCTTCCTTCAATCAGACCAAACCTCTCCCACTGGGCATCTGCAAACACATCAGGCTGCAGACGGAGCTTCCATCCAGCCCTGGCTGGTGGCCAGGGGTGCACAGCACTGGCCACTCAGGACCCAGGCACTCAGGGTGAACACAGGAGGCAGTAATTTCAACTAAAACCACTCTCCCTGTGTCAGTTTGGCCACTTCTGTTGGCAGAGACAGGTGGATCAGGAGGGGGTGGATGATGGCACTGCAGCTGTGCGCTAGGAGGCAATCAGTGTCCAGGCGTGTCCTCTGTGCCTTGAGAGTGCAGGTGGAAGGAGGAGACAGAACAAAGGCTGAGCTGATGGAGCCAAAAAAACCTGAGAAGTCACAGTGGAGGGGTGGCTGTTGCTCCCAGGCTGCTTGTTGTGCTTGTGGGAAGCTCACAGGAAGGTCATGCTGCTCATGGAGATGGGCTGGACCAGCCCACACCTTCTCCCAGCTCATTCACTTCCTCCTTGGAGGGTTTATACCCCAAGGCCTCCACAATATTTAGGTTGTTGATGCTTCGTGAGGACAGGGATGGCTGTTTCGGGGAGCTCCTTGCAGCATCTTGTGAGGTTCAGCTTCTTCCCTTCTTCAGACACTGGATATTCCCATCCCTGGAAGATCAACGTAAAATTGATCCCAGGAGCAGAGCTCTGAGCTGCTCTGCACACTCCACTTATTCCTCCACATTCCCGTGCAGCTCTGCTCTGGTGGGACCAGCAGAAATATTAGCAAAGAACTTGAGAAAATCCCAAGAGTCCTGTTTTCCTGGCTTTGCAAAAACATTTCTGCTTATCAAGCAACCCAAAGAAATGCGAAGATTTTCAGTCACTCTTCGTGTGGGCTCAGCTTTGAATTTTAAAAAGGGATTTGCCAATGCAATCTTGCAAAATACTTGAGTGCCAAGTCCAGCTCTCCTAAAATACAAGTTTTAGGAGGAGGTGAGCTTTCACTCTCTGGGGAAAACATGCATTTCTGACAGATTCAAGGAAGAACTAAGTCTTTTGTGAGGCCATGCCACCCCCTGGAGAAATGTCTCCTCTTGTTAATCAACAGGGACTAAGTCCTGTGGTTTGTAGCACCAAAGGCAGAGCTGCTCATGAGCCTTAAGGCTTTGAACGATGGAGATGTGCCCATGTGGTCACAGGCTACAGCAGGGATGACCAACCCTCAGACTGAGGCATCTAAATCTCTTTTTTCCTCTGCTTGAGCTGAGTCCTGAGGCTGTGCCATTGATAAAGGTGTTGCCTTGGGATTTAGGTACAGCCAAGAGATCATCCTTCATGTCACAGCCCTGGTTAATGGCTGGGGAGAGGTTCTGCCTTGAGTGAAGGAACCAGCCCTTGGCTCTGCGCCTTCTGCACGCCCAGAAAAAGGGTTTAATCTCAACATCTTCATTCACCTCCGTAAAACAAGGATTTTACCTTCTGAAAAACAAGGATTGGGACTCTAAAAACTTCACCTCCTTCCCAGAAGCTCAGCTCGTGTGTTCTGCAGGGCAAGAATCACCTCTAACCCCCTATTTTTACTGCGTGTGGTGGAGCCATCGTGGTGGCTGGGGCTGCTCAGCACGTGTGAGACGAGGAGGAACCAGAGCTGAGCAGCTGCCCCAGCAAGGCACAGCATGCAGCTCTTCCTGAGGCTTAGATGGGAGGGGAAAAGCCTCCAAAGAGGGCACAGAAAGCGCCTGGTGCGTGCTCCTGTGCTCCTTTTAGCTGCAAACAGGCTGTTAAAGCGCAGCATCAGCACATGTGTCTGTGGGACTGGCCAGATCTACACAGCAGCCATTCCCTCGGGATGCAGGAGCGGTGTCTCCGGTCTCCTTGATGGCCATCTCCTGTTTCAGGAGTTGACAAATGCACCCACGGGCTGCTGGGCTGATCTAAAGGAGAGGTAAACCGCGGTTCAAAGCCGTGGCCCCGCTCAGTGTCGGGAATCTCACCCCCTCCCGGCCGGCAAACCGCTCCCGGGACGCTCCTGTCACCATTGGCACGTCGGTGGCTGCTGCTCCTGCTCTGCCAGCGTTTGGCGGGGACCTGAGGCTTGGCCTCACCACGCCAGCTGCAGGAATTCCGACTGCAAGGCACGGAGAGAGCAGGCTCCATCCCACTGGCTGGATGTGGATGGAGGATTTCGCTTTTCCCTTTCCTTTCACGTCTGGTGTCAGCTGGGAGTTGTTCCTGATGAATAATGCGGAACTGCACTGTAATTTTCTGGGTTGAAATTCGATAATTAAGCAAATATAGCATGTCTTTGTGTTGGGCAAGCACCATAAGGTAAACAGGAAGGAATGAGGGATTAAGATGTCTCTGCTCTAAAGGAAGGTGACAAGCCCAGAGCCGTGACACCTCCGTGCCGAGCCGAGAGGCCCAGCTGTGGCCTGGCATGGCACAGCTGCATTGTTCAGGGGTGAAGAGCAAATAAAAGCAAGGGGAAAAGAAAACAAGCTATAAAATTCTCAGCAAAGCACAGAGCCCCAGCAACTGCCTCTTGATGTCCCCGTGACAGCTCTGGGGAGAGGCAGGCGAGGAGTCGGGCTTTTGAAGTCCTTAAGTTGTCCTTTGCAAAGGCCCCCTGTTAAAATAGTGCCTGTGTTGACATTAGGCTGCATATGGTGGAGGAATTGGACATCTCAGTCACAGCACATGCAATCAAAGCACTGGGGGACTTCTTGGTATTTGGCTAACGGGGTGTCAGGCCGGCCCTGCCCCAGGCGGGATGGGGGATGCCGAGGCAGAGGTGAGGTTTATCAGCATACCTGAGGCTGCAGATGAGTAACAGAGCCTGTGGCATGGAAAGACAAAGAAGAAACCAGCTAGGAAGGTCTTGAAATGGTATTTCAAGAGCTCAAACACACACGTGTGTCAGAACTGGTGAGAGTGGGAATACCGGGAAGGTCGGGCAGGTGATGATGGAAATGCCCTTCCCGCAGGGGTGGGCAGAGGGGGTTCCTGAGGTACTGGGAAGTGAGGGATTTCATGGAAGTTTGGGGGCCTTTGTGCTGAGCAGTAGCACAATACAAAGTGAGAGTGGGTGAGAAGGGAGAGAGTGGTGCTTGCATGGGACAAAGTGCTTGTGACAGAGCTGGAGGAGGAGTGCGGGGGGCTGTGCTCTGTTCCCTGACCATGGATGGGCTCCCGGTCCTCACAGCCCTGCCTGCACCCAGATTCTAATCCACATTAAGAGCAGGGAGAGGCAAAGGCACATTTGCTGCAAGTCAGGATAGTGAAATGAGGTCTTAGTGATCTCAGCTTCCCCTCCAGAAAGCTGGACTTATCACATAGCCTTGGTCAGGAGGGGGTATGGGTTAGCAGCTGCACCAAAGCATCCCACCCTGTGACACCCCGCTCTGACAGGGCACACTGGGTGCCCAGCCCTGCTCACACAGGCTCCCCTGGGTTTGGCACCTCCGTGGCCGGGCACAAATGGTGACAATCTCCACTCTTTGCCTCTCTCAGCCTGCAACTGCAACCTGCACGCCCGGCGCTGCCGCTTCAACATGGAGCTGTACAAGCTGTCGGGGCGCAAGAGCGGCGGCGTCTGCCTCAACTGCCGGCACAACACGGCGGGGAGGCACTGCCACTACTGCAAGGAGGGCTTCTACCGAGACCTCAGCAAGCCCATCTCCCACCGCAAGGCCTGCAAAGGTACCGGGGTCGGGCGTGGGACAGCCGGGACCCCGCAGCTCCTTCCCTTCCAGCCCCTTCCTGCAGCTCCTGCTCCCGCAGGAGCCAAACTCCTCCTGCTCCTCCCTCTCCCAAACCAATTTGAAATGACTTTTCTTGCCGTTTTAAATTGCTTTTCTTGCCCCCACGTTCCCTGATACCACCTCTCCCTGGTCTCCTCCTGGAGAGGACGGGGCCATCGAAATACAACAAATCCTCACTGCTGAGAATGACTTTATTTCAGTGTTTATCAGTTATCACGTGCTTCATCTGCTAACCTGGTCATCACACATGTAAAGTGCATAAAATCCCAGGTATGGGGTCAGATGTAGCATCTGTATATCAGCCTCCTCCGAATACCCTTCTCCAGCTCCCCCACTCCACCCTCGCCCCGGCACTGCTGGGGCACAGGCAGCGCTTAACCCACGCACAGAACATGTCACTCCTCGGGACGAGGAGGGAACAGTAAAAAGGGAAACAAGTTTATTTTGAGCTCGGAGTTTTTTGAGATTTCCTCGTGTGGATGTGGAGGCGAGCTGGGCTTCAGCTGGGGCGGGAGCAGCAATAAGAGCAAATCCTGCAAATGAACCTTTTCCGCTCTCAGCTGGGGGAGACGTAAATCCTGAACCTGAGGTGCAGTGAAAGGAATCAAGCAAACATTCAAAAGCCAGACTAGAGAATGCTGGTGTTTCCCACAGAAATCTTCAGCTCTTTTCTCTCTAAAGACTCATTTCAATAAGAAATGAAAAGCTTTTTGGCCTTAGCTGGGTATTTTTGGCTGGAAAGTTTTGAGTCTTCAGCATTTTAATTTTTAATGAAAATGCTGCTTCTTTATTTTTTTTTCCCCACTGAAAACAGACACTTTTTGCCAAAACAGAAAAAGAAACCACTTCTTTAGATAGTCCTATTCCTCCCTTTTCACCCTGTAAAAACTATTCCAACGAGATATTTTCGACCCACCCTGCACTGAGGCTCCTAACCAGCTCCAGCTGATGTGTGGGCTGCTGGGAACCCCATCCATGGGCCTGGGCGGCAGAGGAGCTGCCATTTCAGGATGCAAGGAGCCAGAAGAGAGGGGTGTTGAGGGGCTGAGCCACTTCCATGCCAGCCCCAACAACCCAGAGGGACCCCAGCTCTGGCAGGGAGCTGCATGCTATGAGTGGAAATGCCTTGTCTCCCCATCCTGAGAGGATCTGTGTCAGAATAAAGTCAGCATTTCTGCCTTCACAGCCAGGTCACTGATGAAATAACAGTGAAATAGCAGTGAAGGAATGTTCAGTTGGGCCAGTCAAATGGAAATGGTGAAGGTGTGGGCACTCCTTGTGGGATGCATGTGGGCATCCATCACCCTCCATCAGCAGCACTGCTGCTGTCCAGAGCCTGATTCCTGTCTACCTTCCTTCTCCCCAGAAAGGGTTTTGGGCTGCCCCGCTGGGAAGAATTCTTGCCCTCCCCAAGGACAGTAAACTCCTTCCCAGGGCTGTGGTTTCTGCCTCCCCAAGGACAGTAAACTCCTTCCCAGGGCTGTGGTTTCTGCCTCCCCAGCATGGGGACTTCTGGGGATGTGGTGTGATTTGGAGGAGAGGAGGGCTCTTTGTCAGCCATGGGCTCACTGTGCATCCATAGGAATTCCAGTCCTCTGGGATCAGCACAGGGAGCATGGAGCAGGGAGGGGATGCTTGGCTGGAGGGTAGGATGGATTCCATCTCCTGCTTTTCCATCCTGGGAAAATGCAGTCTCTGCCCTGTGTTGGCAGTGATGTCCATGCTTAACCCTCTCTTGACTGATCCTGGCACTTCCCAGGACCGTCCTCATTCCTGCTTTTCCCAGCTCTCCTCCCTGGCCAGGCAGCCTGTTCCCCTTGTCCTGCCCATCCCTCCTTGCTGTTCCCTGGCCCTTCACTCTGCTGACCTCTCCCTGGCTGACAGCACAGTGGTCCTACCCAAAAACACAGCTGGGTGGTACCTGCAGGTGGGAAACCTCAGAGCTGCCTCAGTTTCCCCAGGAGAGCACTGGGAATTCAGGCACTGGCCTCCATGAGGCCCTCCACAAGAATTTTAGGCTGAATTTCCCAGTTGCTGGGTCATTCACTCTATTAAATGCTCTTTGCAATTGTCCTTCTCTCAACCTCTGCCTTCTCAAACTGCTCCTGCACTTCAAATTGGAGGTGGCCAAATTTAAATACTTCTCCAGCCCCCCATGGTTTGTAACAGATACAAAGGTATGTGATAACTGTGCTGAGCAGCTTGCAGCCTATGAGCAGGATTTCACAGTACTTGTTGGGTTATTGTTGGTGTAATCCACTGTTCTGTACCAAAGCAGCAAAATGAAGTTTCCTACAGCACAGGCATTCCTTTGAAAACTCGTTTTCCTGAGGTCTGTTTATGACACGGTGGAGGTTCATATTCCCTCTATTTTTCTTTCCCAATTCTGGGCTTTTTCTGAAGGAATTGCTGAAAACAGGCATGTTTAAAAAACAACCCTATCATCTAACAGCTTCAGCCATCTCACCATTGATAACAATATTCATTTATCATCTCACCAAACCAGCTGACAATGGGCAATCCTCTCCCAGAGCCTCATCTTGACCACATGTGTTTCAAATTGAGGAATTAACCATTCTGAAGCATCTGCCATCTCCCTCACCACTACCTGCTGTCTGCTCTCACCCACCAGACTGCTTTCTCTGTAAGACTTGAGTCTTTCAGCCATCACATTGCTCTGATTGTGTTCCACATGTAACAAATTTAAATAAATGCATACAATAGAGCCCTGGTGCCCTGGGAGCTGCCAAGAGCACGTGACACACTCACCTACCCTGGCAAGTGTGTGAGCTCACAGCAAACACCCCATGAAAGAGCTGCCAAGGAGATTTTTGTACTAATTCAACTCCTTTATTCAGCCTAACACACACATCCAGCTAAAACGCCTTTCACTCACATTCCTCATCTCCCACTCCATCCTATACAAGAGGTTATGCACCTCAACTCGTAACACATCTAAGGTTAGAAAATTAGAGAGGCATTCTTTTCAATGCTTGGGTGGCTATTTATGCAAAAATACAACGTTGCAGAAATGTTTGCACAAGGTCTACTTAATTTCAACTTGGAGAAAAAGAGAAATCCACAAATTTTGCACGTGTTCATAGGGCACAGCGTGAGGCTTAGGCAGCAAAAGGTGAGCAGAAAGCAGAGCTGGGCAACACCCTCCTACCCATCACAGGGCTGTTTGGCTTTCTAATAGCCAAACCTATAATAACTGCTAAATTATAGATTTTTTTTTTTAATGATCTGAAGTTGTCTCAGCAGCACAGATGAAGGCATAAGAAGCTGGGCTTTAAGGATGACTTTTCCCTGATGGTTAACGGCAATGCAGCTGTGCCGTGTAATTCACCTCTGCGTTTGCTTCCAGTGGTTTTCTTGCAAAAATGATAAAAGCAAAGAATTTGTCAGTGCCCAGAGATGCCCTGTCACTGAGCCACACAAGGCAGGGCACGGCACGGAGTCTGCAAACCACATGCAAAGGAATTGATGACAGATGGAGCGGGGATATTGCATGAAGTGGCAACGCTGGGTGAGCGCCAGAGCCTGCCAGGCTGGAGCTGGGGCTGGGGCTGGGGCTGGGGCTGGGGCTGGGGCTGGGGCTGGGGCTGGAGGAGTGTGGCTGCTGTGGGTGGGTGGTCAGGCAAACCCAGGGACAGCAGTTACTCAAGCCAGGGCTCGGGTTCCCCTGGTGTTTTGAGGTCAGACCCCAGAGCTGATCTCTGCGTGGCCCCATCTGGGGACTCTGGGGCTGGAGGAGTCCCGTGGCCCTGCTGCTCCTCCACCGGGGGGATGGATGGGCTCATCCCAGAGGGCAAGGGAGCAGGATGCCCTTTGCCCTGGACACATCAACCCCCTGGTGTTGCATTGACCCTTTAGGTGTGGGGGCTGTCCAGAGAAGCAACAAAGCTCCAGATATAAGAAATTTTGCACGTTCGTCTTTTAAGACAGACAAGGGTGAATTGTTCCTTTCTCACTAGTTTTTGAGAAAGCACGAAGAGTTCCCAACACACCAAAGCCGTGCTTCCAGTTCCTTCTGCTTTCCCTCTGCTCCAAATGATGTTGCAAGTGAAATTCCACATCTGGGTCCTGCAAACCTTCGTCCGCCCCGCTCTGTCGTGGGCCGCCGTAAATCAGGGCCCTGGTGTTATTTCTTTTGATTAAACTCCCTCCTGATATTTGCCAGATTATTGGCACTAATGTAATTCTATTGGAGCAGAGAGTCTGCAGGATTTTATAGCCCGGCTGTAAAACAGCTCTGCACTTGAGGGAGAGGCTTTACACACTTTTTGATGAAAAGATGACAAATGATACACGTTATGAATGCACTTGTGCTGAGGCTGCCAGTGTAAACCCCTTGTGGAGGGGCAGGATTTGGCACCTGGAGAGGTCACATTCATTAGGACTCCATGTTTTGGTAAAAAATGGGATTGTCTGATTCCCTGGTGCTGCCACAGCTCCACGCCTGTGCAGAGCCTGGCAGGTTTTCCATCTGCACTGAAGTACTTAATGGCTTGTTCAAACCCCAAAAGGCACTCCCAGCCTACCTGCCCATCCTGCCTTGTAACCACAAAGGGTCAAGCCTTGACATTTTCATTTTGGAGGCAGTTTGGGTCAAAGCAGAGGGAAGGTGAGTGCCATCCCCATGGGCTCAGCCTCTGATCCTTGATTTCATGGGTGCAGATACAGGTTTTCTTCCCACCCAGCTGCAGGCCCTGAGTGGGGGGGACTAACACAGTCGAACCCCTTTGGCTCCCGGTGCTGCCTGGAGAGGGGAGCAGAGCCTCTGGTGACAGGGACAGTGGGACGAGTCCCCGCCTCTCTCCACTGACTATAGAGGGAGCTGCGTGACCAGCTTAGAGCTGAGAGCTCATTCCCACGAGGCTGAAGCCAGGGGAGATGGAACCTCTCCTTGCTGCCCAGAGCCCCACTGGGAATTTG